CTGATTATTCCTATTGATTTCTGCTGATTATTCCTATTGATTTACATTGATTATTCCTATTGATTTACATTGATTATTCATATTGATTTACATTGATTATTCCTATTGATTTACATAGATACTCCTATTGATTTACATAGATACTCCTATTGATTTACATAGATACTCCTATTGATTTACATAGATACTCCTATTGATTTACATTGATTATTCCTATTGATTTATGCTGATTATTTGTACCTCTTCTCCTCTCTGGATGCGTCTACAGGAGCTGATGATGATCTTGTTCTCCTTCTCCACAGTGACCACCTCTGTGATGCAGTTCGGAGAACACGAGTGGTTGATGTACCTGTCAATCACAGACAGAGGGCAGGTCCTTTATATGATGACAAACAAACCACAGCTTCAGATGCTGGTTTGAGTTTAAAGAAAATGCGTTGGAATGCTGAAATGAATCGCAAAAAAATTGCTGAAAATACAGAAATGGGAGACTACCTGTCTGAAAAATGTTGAAGGCCAAAAGCATTAAACTGCACTAATGAAAACCCTTCTAGTTGAAATGTCTAACTGGCAGACTTGGAAGCTAAACTGTTTTATCGAACGAAGCTAAGAGCTGAAATACGATGCAGGAAAAGCTTGAAGCTAAACGATTTTACTGTCAAAGTAATAGTAGTAAAAGTAGGAGTAGAAGTGGTAGTAAGGGTTGGACTGAGGGGGTGAGAGGAGACAGAATCATAATGTTTGAACTAGTGCTGGGCAAGTTAACGCGTTATTATCGCGTTAACGCATTCATTAATTAACGGCGACAATTATTTTATAGCGCATTGACGCATTTTCTTATTTTTTTTTATTTTGAAAGTCCGTTGCTCACTGGCAGCGGTGGAGGAATGGAGACTACTGGACATTGCTGCAGTAAAGTCAGCAGACACTCAGATCACCGTGGTCAACTCAGCAGACACTTACACTTTAGTGCACCTATATGCTGAAATTCACCGTAAACGCATTCAAACAGCACAGATCGGGAGCGAGCATAGGAGTTAGCGGAAAGATTAACGTGAGACAATATCCGGTTTCTTCAGACGAACATCCGGTTTTCAGAATAAGATGCCAACAAAGTATGAATTATATTCACATCAAGTATAAAACATGCTGCATCTTGTGAGTTAAAGGGAAAATACACCTAAATTGTGGGTAAAGTGTCTTTATTCTTTGATCGCTGGGTCACCATCATCACCTCTGAGTGACAGCAGTATAGTGATGAACAGTAGAGCTGCATTCACATGCTCTGACTGTCATGAAGACACAACACACACATGTAGATGAAACGTGCTGAAACATGTTATTCCTGTTGCACAGCAGTGGAACGTTTCACACACAGTCACACACTGAGCACAGATAGTGAAGAGATAGAACTGCTGCTGTGTAAAGAGAACACTGCTGCTAACAACAACCTGATGTGTTTAAAGTGTTTACAAACCAAATGTTATTCACCTTTAGTTCATATAGCAGTACTTTCAAAATAAAAGTGCGCAATACACTAGTTTTGAATTCATTATTGAACTTTGAGCATAACAATGAGATTAATCGTGATTAATCGCAAAAAATCCATGTGATTAATCGCGATTCAAAATTTTAATCGTTGCCCTGCACTAGTTTGAACACATACACAGAGAATATTAAATGTCAGGCTTCATCACAAGCATTCCAGTTAGAATTCACTCTGTGGGGCTTTTATTTTGAAATGGGGGGGGGGGGGGGGGGGGGGGGGGGGG